ATTTGTTATCTTTCTTTTAGTCCTTGCCATTTTCTGATCTTCATACAATCACACAATGTTTTCTTTAGAAGCCCTCAAAGGACCGAAGAAAATCACAAATGGAAAGCAAATAAGCCTTGTTAATGTTGTTTGTGTGCTAAAACTAAAGGAATTACTTAATCATTATTTTTTAAGTTTCTCCTCTCTTTCTGTCTAATTACTTTTAAAATACTTAAACTGCCAACCAAAACTCATCTGTCTGTTCTTTTAAACAGTTCTTCCATACTTTCTTTCCTGGCCCAGTTGCACCCATCAGTGACATGATAGCCTTTACTACTTAAAGGTTTTTTTTGTTTTCAGTTGATATTTTCATTCCAGTACGTTTGCTAGCTCAGCCTTCCCTGTTTCTTCCAGACTAATAACATGAATTTCATGAGATCAAAGTCTTTTTTGAAAATGCAACACAGCATAATATGTGAAGAGAATTACAGAAATACATGACATGTTATAAACATCTAAATTAAAAGATGACTTGCAAAAGGCCATGCAGTTCTCTACAGAGATCTTCACATGCTAGAAAGTGTAGTGAACTGTACAGTTCTGTTTACCTGACAGATATCTTCCAGCATAGGGTTGAGACAGTGCAATAAAATTAGGATAGTAAAATTGTTAAAAATAAAATGCACATCTATTTCTCATTTACAGTCAAGTCACCACTGGAAGATGCTAAAATCTCAGGAGAATTTCACAAATCCACAGGATGCCTCACCAGCACTTAGTTTTCTGTTTGAATGTGATTTAGCTGAAAGGTACAGCTAGACAAATGGCTCCCTACTGGCTTTCTATATGAAAAGAATCAAAGACTGTAAATTGTTCTTACTTCTAAAGCAAATTGTAATCTGTATTCATTCAGCTCAAAATTCAACTTTTACAAAAACTATCTTAAAGTCTCGAGGGAGACCTAATAATCTACAGCTACTTAGAAGTTGTAAAATGAGTGGCTGTCAATCATTAGCATCATGCAGGGAAGGAAGAACAAAACAGCAAAAGGGGTAGTGAGATTAAATATAGAAGGAAACCAGTTTCATACTTTAAGGAGAATCCAGGTTGCAAAATGAGCTGTTAAGGGGAAATTTGAAGTCCTACATATTGTGACCTATTGCTAAGGACTAGACTCGTCAACAATCATTTACAAATTGTTTATATTGTAGTAGTGTCTCTGAGTGTGTAAACCTGGAACAAACTTGTAAGAAGACACAGTCTCTGTTGTGGAGTACTCATTACCTGAAGACAGAATAAATAAAATTGGCTAAAAGAAGAAAGCTACAATATATTACAATGCAATCAGGCAAATAAATGAGGAACACCTTTGTTCTATTAATTTAATTATTTATTGACAAATAGGTTGTTTGTCAAGGATAAAAGATATAACTAGAAGGAACTGGAAACCTGGCTGAAAATTAACATTTTGAAACTATGCAAAGAATGAGTCATACAAGCATTTTTAAAGTTGAGGGTTTTTTTAAGTTGGGGTGGTTTTTTTTGGTTGGGTTGGTTTTGGGGTTTTTTTTAGATAAATTCTCAGAGATTTTGGCAATAACCATAAAAAGCCTAGGGAAGAGGAGTGCCTGAATCTCCTGTCTCTGTAACCACTACCAGAGGCCACACGTGAGGAACCTGATACTCTAAAATTCATACCCTTTGCAAAATGGATCTGATATAGATGAGCTCCTCTTTCTTAGGAGAATAGCCTTAAAGACTGGAATATTTAATTAATTGTGATATACTCGTCTCACTTCTCTGCTTACAGAGTTTTCAGTCTATGTAAATAACTACATATTGTAGCAAACCCTGGAAAGAGCTGTCCTCTATTATCTGAACAATTTTTCTTAGGCCTAAAGAGATTTCTCTTGCATTGAGTCACAGAGCCAAAAGATCAGTTAATTGTGTCCTCTAATCAAGACTAATTTATGGATTGCTAAAATCAGATTTGATACAACACTCAAAAGTTTGCAAGATTATTCACTGAAAAAAACCTTCTAGACCTATTAATTACCAGACTACAAGATAGCATAGTTTCCCGGCATGTGAAGGGTAGGATTTTTAACTCAGATCTGCTTGTAGACCTTATCCTGTTATTGGCTTTTAACAAATATACTGATGTATGTAAGCATGAATAGCATAAGAACCATGTAGTACTAGTTGAGTTCATAAGTATTTACTGTAGTTCTAGTGTTTCTGAGGATATTATGTTTGCTCAAATACAAATGTGATGGGTAAAACAAGTAGAATTCAATATTTTTCTATTGTACTTGTGGCCCTGACCAACACTGACATTCAAGAGAGCAATGGATATTATATCTGGGGCTTAACAAATTGTCAGTAGTTAAAAGAGCACATTAACTAAGTTTTGACTTACAGCAAATTAATTCTAAACAAATCAAATATTAGCTGTTGAATTTTCTGGAAAGGCTGGGATCAAAATAATTTTATCATTCTTTGTTTAGCTGGAAAAATATGGGAGTTCCTTTCATTATAGCATTGCATATATTCAAATATTGTCTGCTAGTAAGAACAAGCAGTAACTAATAACATTTTTCTGCTTGACTTGGTGCCTGTATAGAGCATATTTCACTCTTCAGTTATTTGTTGAACTAGGCGAGAAGGGAAAGGGAAAAACTAATTTCCATATTATCTGCACGTGCTTGACACACAGGACCTTTGGAGCAATTGCATAGTTAGAAGATAGGATGATATGAAAGGGATTTTTTTTTTTTTAATATGCAGTCCTCCTTCGAGTATGTTTTCTTCTAAATAGCTGTGTGAATATTAAAGTAACAACTTTATATTCATAATAGATTGCCTAGAATAAATAAAAAAATAATCCTTGCAGAATAGGCTAATTTGGAGCTATCATGATAATTTATTTATAATGTATTCCCTCTCTCCCCATTAAGGCCCTCTCAGCATTATACAGTTATAAACTGTATTAAAACATCATCAAATACGTACCATAACAGACTAACAAATAATAAAATCAGACCTGAGCCACATTGTTAAAAGGGGGGTTGAAAGTGCTACAGGTGGCAGCTGATGGCAGCACAGAAAGCTCTGCCTTTCAAGTATGTCAAACTGTTAGCCTTTTTTTTCAAAATATCCACATTTTTATTTGATGGCCTGTAGTTAGTTTGATGATCAAAGTGTACATATCGTTTTGCTTCGGCTTGTTTTATTGAACTTAAAAGCTCAACTTTAGAGCTGTAGGTGCTATTACACTTCTGAGCACTTACCTTTATGATTTCTCTTGATAGCAAGGAGGAGTCATTGCTGCAAATGTGGTACTGTCTCCTGTGTTTCACTTCTGATTTATTTTTCTAGGATATACTGTTGGCAAAAGGTGCTGGATAGGAAGCTGGGAAGAGAACATTCTGGTTTTGTGATGAGCCCATAAAGCAGTGGCCCGGTGACACCTTCTGTCATACATGATGTTTCTGATTTCAAAGGGCTTTCTCCAGGGCAAACTGACAGGATAATCTGTGTCCTTTAGTCATTGTTTTTATGTATGCCTAGACTACCAAATCAGAGATTTTTAAAAGAGCCCAATAGCTGTATCAGTTCAGGGGGGAGGGATTCACTGCTTTTTGTGGGGCAGGTACTTCCCTCAGAGAACTAGATCAAAGCCCAGCAGCTCTTTTAAACAAGATCTGATTGACTGGTGCTGTTTGAAGACATTTTTGCCCCTTTGGCGGAGGTGACCACTCTTGCAGCTCTGGTGAGTAAAAGTTCTGTATGAACATTTCCAGTTTGCTTCAGAAGACAAAAAGAATCTTGGGATGTCAATGCATAAGCTTCAATTACTGACAGATGGTTAAGGGTAACACCACATAGCAGATATACACCAAAGAGCACATCTGTTCTTTTCAAAAGCAGGACAGCTAAATCTGAACCGATCTAGGCAACTTCTGTGTATATGTATTCTCCATGTATCACAATTCATGTCACAAATGCAACATATGAAAGAAAACGTGGAAATTATTTCTGTATTCTATTTTTTCAAAAGAAACCCTTAAAAGATTATTCATCAGCTTTCAAATGTTAAAAGAAACAGTGCATACTTTCTGTCTTTTTCTTTGAAAGAGAGAAAATGTTCTTAAGAGTCAGTTTTGATCCAACAGCTTACATCAAAATTTCATTCTTTTCCTTTTCTAAAGAAAAATGTTTTGGCCAGCTATATTATCCATCCTTTTTTTCCCTGTTTTATCATTGCTGCTACACCAGGTTTTCCTCTTTTATCATTTTTACAGTGAGAGCTCCATCACAAAATCTGTATTAGGCTACAGCCATTCTGGTTTCAACCATAATTTGTTGACAGTACAGCTTATGCTGAATACTTACACATTTTCCCATTAGAATTGGCTTTTTCACTGACTTGGAGTCTTTCTGGGGGGAAGATGTTGATTTTTAAACTAAATTTTCCTTTAGAAAAATGAAAAAGATAACATGTTTTCCATTTCAAAATTATTTCAGTTTAAAAAATACTTTTTATTGTCTTACGATACAAACCAGAAGAGCTGACATTTGAATAAATTATCTGAAATGAACCCTTCTTGTGAGGGAATTTTAAGGTTTTATATTGTTGCTCAGAACAACACAAGTCTTCAAGTGACTGTTAAAAGTTCCCACGGCACAGAAATTTCCTATTTCAGGTAAGAGCAGCAAGAGAAAGTCCATAATTTGCTTCATATTTCAGTAAATTATAATACATGATAGCTCAAATTTTAAAACCTACTTGATGATCAGGGTGGGTTTTTTCCCGTGTATGACCCTGTAACAGTCCAACTAATTAAGTTATCTGCCTCATGTTTCTTGACTCTTGTTACAGTAAAGCAACTGAACTGATTTTTTTTTTCCTATTCCATTTTGAGAGAAAACCTGTTTTTCTAACATTTTATATCAGTGAGAGCTCAGGAGAGTTGCAGTGGTTCAGTAGTTCTTAATGATAACTATTTGTTTTGCTCTAGTTTTCCAGATCAAGATATTCACAGAACAGCAGTCCAACAAATAGAAAATATGTCCAATGATGAATTGTTAGAATACTCCCACAGCTGGTTCAGGTAAGGAAGAAATTGATAGCCAAGGAAGTCTTCTGTCCAGATCAATAACTTCATTAAATACTTTTGATTCTTTCAGTTTGATTGATACATTGTAAGAGGAATAAATAAGAAAGGCTTTACAGCTGATGCAATGACTGAATTAACAATAGGGCTGAGGTATAGACTGTTTTGGCATGCTGATTAAACTTTTCTCTATACTACAAGAATGTATTTACAAATAACAAACTAAAATAAAAAATGCATCTAATCAAGAACAATTTGACTATGACCACCAAACCAGGGTCTGGTGGTGTCAGGGCTTTGTTGCAGTGAAAGAAGCAAATGGTGTTGCAACAAGTCACAGACGTATACAGGGAAAATGGTCAGCACAGATTAGTCAGGGCAATTTGTGCGTAGAATTGTCCCTTTATAGATGTACATTACATTTCACTGGAAATTAATGTTTTCCAAGTTATGAGCCTACTGCTTCCAAAACAATCACTGTGGTTGAGTAGGTCCTGTGTTGCACTTAAGGGGGAACCTTTGAAAGCTTTATTCCCTTACTTGGTAACATTGTGCACATGGATTTCTTACTATTCCACATTTCAGAGTTCCTCAGGGGTTTTTTGTGTGTTTTTAAATAGATATTAGTATAAATGCATGCCCATATATATGAATATCTAGATAGATATATATGTGTATATATATGAATACGGATTACACCTGCACAAATTTACAGCATTCACACAGTAGGACGCTTACGTGTCCTTCCACCTGCCACAGATTCTGTTTCACAAACAAGTTTATTGTCCTGGTTCAACTAGGATAGGGTTAAGTTTCCCCAGCAGAGAGAGAGGGGTAGGGGATCTCCAGCCGGGTTATTCATACCATGCTGGCGTCAGGTCCAGGGGCGGGAAACTTTACTTTCTCTTTGGCTTTTTGGTGGTGGGGAACTGCTCCGTGACCATTTAGCGGTATTTCTCTGTATATTGTTTGTCTTGTTCACTGTTATTGCTGTTTATTGTTGTTATCATTGCTACTGTTGTTGTTCAGATTGTTTATCACACTTTTGTATTAAATTTCTTCTTATTTCAGCCCCGGTTTGTGCCTCACTGCCAGCCTGACCGGCTGAGGGTGGGGAAGGGGCAACGGCAACGTGCTCTCTGGTCCCGGCAGGGCTTAAACCTGCACAGTCTTAATTGGCGCCCAATGTGGGGCTTGAAGGGCTGAAATACGAATAAAAGGGACAGACCCTGACCAGAGTGTGATAGAGCCATCTGTTGGGTGTAATTTTTCTATTTGTTTGATAAGAAAATGTTAGCGATGCTGGCCCACATGTTTGGGTGTTGCGGCTGGATTACTCCTTATATCCAGTGTGTGATCCCTGTGGTGGTGTTTGTTATGGGTGGAAAATGTACAAAGGTTCTTATGTTGTTATACGGGCTATTGAACGCCTATGCTGCCTTTGTATCGCTGTGTGTGGGGGTGGGCCGGTACCTGTTTGCCGTTTGGGCTTTTGTTAGGGGTATCACCCCCTCTGTGGGTGAGCCAGGGGAAGGGATCTTCTTGGGTTTGGGGAGTTTCAATTATCCTTGGAGCCTGCAGGGCAGTGTGATTGTGGCACTACGCCTTCTGAATGCCTGCCTGATTTCGGTTTTGGCCATGCGGCATTTCTCTAACAATAGCAGTGCCTGGAAACCTGCCCCAAGGTCAGATAATAGTGAGTGGCAATGGGTGTGGGAAAAGATGGGCAAAGGCCTGAGTCGGTGGGCACCACCAGTGCTCTGGAATTTCACTCCTGAGCAAATGCAGAGCCCTGAGAAGCTGATGGAGTGCTTAGAAAGGGTGTGTTACCAAGCTGGCAAAACCCAGGAGACACAACTCGCTGCAATGTGTTGGGGACTTGCCCATGCGTACCGTGCCCTCTTTAATAGCACCTGCTGCCCTCAAGGGGGAGAAAAGGCCACAGAAGCTGAAACAATATCTGAACCGGGGGGCACAGGCAGAGCCAGTCTCAGTCACCTCCACCAGCACAGACTGAGCCAGAGAGCCAGGCAGAGCCAGTGTCAGTCGCCCTGATACAGAAAACCAAATATACCAGAAAGTCAGTTCTCAGAGTGAGGGATGGGGAAGAGCCAGGCCCAGCACAGGAACAGGAGGAAGGACCAGAGGTGATTGTCCGATCTCTGTCCCCGACTGAGCTGGGACATATGCGGAGAGATTTCAGCCACCTGGGAGGCGAGCAGATTTGCACCTGGCTGCTCTGATGCTGGGACAATGGAGCCAGTGCTTTTAAGATGGAGGGGAGAGAGGCCAGGCAGCTGGGATCTTTGGCCAAGGATGCTGGCATTGATATGAAATAGGGAAACAGGCTCAAACCCTCAGCGTTTGGAGGTGACTCCTGCTCAGTGTCAGGGAGAGGCACCCCTACAAGGATGATATCCTATGTCAGCTGAGCAAATGGACCAGCATTGAGAAAGGCATCCAGCACCTCAGGGAACTGGCTGTGTTTGAGATGATCTATGGTGATCCAAATAATGAACAGTCACCCATGGACCCAGATCAGGCCCCTTGCACACACCTTATGTGGCGAAAGTTCCCGAAGAGCGCACCAGAAGCACACTCGAAAGCATTGGCAATAGTGTCCTGGTGGACAGACACCCACACTCTAACAGTGGATGGAGTGGTTGGCAAGCTCCGGCAATATGAGGGAAATCTCCCCTTCATCTCAGCATTCCTGGGTCTCAGCTGTGGAGAAACTGGCTCAGAGGGTCCAGAAAATGGAAGAGGACATGTCCTACGTTCCACGTGCACGGGCTGATGTCTCAGCCATTAGAAGTAAACATTTCCCCACCCAAGAGAAAGGCAGCAGAAGGTACACACCACGAGACACCCTGTGGCTTTTCCTCGGCGACCATGGAGAAAACATGAGGAGGTGGGATGGACAGCCCACTGCTGCCCTAGCTGCATGAGTAGAGCAGCTGAAAGGGAAGACCATCACAAAAGGGGAGTCCTCCAAGAAGAGCACAGCTCCATTGTCAAGTCAGAAATCGCCCGGGAAGAATAGAATGGTGAACGTTATGTCTGACCCTCTTGAGGGGACCAGTGAATCATTCTTGCAAGAAGTGAGTGATGATGAGCAGGATTAGAGGGGCCCTGCCTCCAGCCAGGTGGAGGAAAGGGATAATCGGATTTACTGGACAGTGTGGATCTGATGGCCTGGCACGTCAGACCCACAAGAGTATAAGTCTTTGGTGGACACTGGCGCACAGTGCACCCTGATGCCATCGAGCTACAGTGGGGTTGAATCCATCTGCATCTCCGGAGTGACAGGGGGATCCCAACAGCTGACCCTACTGGAAGCTGAAGTGAGCCTGACTGGGAAGGACTGGCATAAGCACCCCATTGTGACTGGCCCAGATGCCCCGTGCATCCTGGGCATAGACTGTCTCAGGAGAGGGTACTTCAAAGATCCAAAAGGGTAACGGTGGGCTTTTGGTGTAGCTGCCCTGGAGGAGGTTGAACAGTTGTCCACCTTACCCGGCCTCTCAAGGGATCCCTCAGTGGTGGGGCGGCTTAAGGCTGAGGAGCAGCGAGTGCCGATTGCTACCAGGACGGTGCACCGACGGCAGTACCGCACCAACCGAGATTCCCTGGTCCCCATCCATCAGCTGATCCGTCAACTAGAAAGCCAGAAGGTGATCAGCAAAACTCACTCCCCCTTCAACAGTCCCAATATGGCCAGTGAGGAAGCCTAATGGCGAATGGAGGCTAACTGTGGACTACCGTGGCCTGAATGAAGTTACGCCAGCAATGAGTGCTGCAGTGCCAGACATGCTAGAGCTCCAGTATGAACTGGAGTCGAAGGCAGCCAAGTGGTACGCCACGACTGACATTGCTAACGCGTTCTTCTCCATTCCGATAGTGCCAGAGTGCAGGCCACAGTTTGCGTTCACTTGGAGAGGCATCCAGTACACCTGGAATCGATTGCCCCAGGGGTGGAACCACAGCTCCACCACTTGCCATGGACTGGTCCATACTGCACTGGAGAGAGGTGGGGCTCCAGAACACCTGCAGTACATTGATGACATCATTGTATGGGGGGACACAGCTGAGGAAGTCTTTGAGAAAGGGAAGAAGATAATTGAAATCCTCCTGAAGGCCGGCTTTGCCATTAAGCAAAAGAAAGTTAAGGGGCCTGCAAGGGAAATTCAATTCCTAGGGATAAAATGGCAAGATGGGAGTCACCACATCCCAATGGAGGTGATAAACAAGATAACAGCCATGGCCCCACCGACCTCTGAAAAGGAGACTCAGTCTTTCCTGGGCGCCGTGGGGTTCTGGAGGATTCACATCCCAAACTACAGCCTGATTGTGAGCCCTCTCTACCACGTAACCCTTAAGAAGAACGATTTTGAATGGGGCCCTGAGCAACAACAATCCTTTGAACAGATTAAACGAGAGATTGCCCAAGCAGTAGCCCTCGGGCCAGTCCGGGAAGGGCAGGAGGTTAAGAACATGCTCTACACCACAGCCGGGGAGAATGGCCCTACCTGGACCCTCTGGCAGAGAGCACCCGGGATAACCCGAGGCCGACCTCTAGGCTTTTGGAGCCTGGGATACAAAGGCTCTGAAGCTAATTATACACCAACTGAGAAGGAGATACTGGCAGCGTACGAAGGAGTTCGGGCTGCCTCAGAAGTGGTCGGCACTGAAACACAGCTCCTCCTGGCACCCTGACTGCCGGTGCTGGGGTGGATGTTCAAAGGAAAGGCCTCCTCCACGCATCATGCAACCGATGCCACGTGGAGTAAATGGGTTGCGTTGATAACACAACGGGCTCGAATAGGGAACCCCAGCCGCCCAGGGATACTAGAGGTGATTACGAACTGGCCAGAGAGCAAAGATTCCGGGATGTCACCAGAACAGGAGGTGACACGTGCTAAGGAGGCCCCACCATATAACGAGCTGCCGGATGAGGAGAAGCGATATGCCCTGTTCACTGATGGGTCTTGTCGCATTGTGGGAAAACATCGACGATGGAAGGCTGCTGTGTGGAGTCCCACACGACGGGTCACTGAAGCTGCTGAGGGACAGGGTGAATCGAGCCAGTTTGCAGAGGTGAAAGCCATCCAGCTTGCTTTGGATATTGCTGAGCGGGAAAAGTGGCCGAGGCTCTACCTCTACACTGACTCGTGGGCAGTGGCAAATACCCTGTGGAAATGGTTGCAGCAATGGAAGCAGAACAACTGGTAACATAAGGGTAAAACCGTTTGGGCTGCTGAAGTATGGCAGGACATTGCAGTCCGTGTGGAAAACCTCGTTGTGAAGGTGCGCCATGTGGATGCCCATGTACCCAAGAGTCGGGCCACTGATGAGCATCGACAGAACCACCAGGCAGACCAAGCTGCTGAGATTAGAGTGGCTCAGGTGGACTTGGACTGGCAGTGCAAAGTTGAACTGTTCATAGCTCGGTGGGCCCGTGAGACCTCAGGCCACCAAGGTAGAGATGCAACATACAGGTGGGCTTGAGATCAAGGGGTGGACCTCACCATTGACACCATTGCAGAGATCATCCACGGATGTGAGACGTGTGCTACAATCAAACATGCCAAGCGGGTGAAGCCCCAGCGGAATGGAGAGCGATGGCTGAAATATAGATATGGAGAGGCCTGGCAGATCGACTACATCACACTGCCACAGACCCGCCACAGGAAGCGCCACGTGCTCACAATGGTGGAAGTAACCACTGGGTGGCTGGAAGCTTACCCAGCACCCCAAGCCACCACCCGGAACTCCATCCTGGGCCTTGAAACCCAAATCCTGTGGCGACACGGCACCCCAGAGAGAACTGAGTCAGACAACGGGACCCACTTCCGAAACAACCTCATAAATGCCTGGACAGAAGAACACGGCATTGAGTGGGTCTACCATATCCCCTGCAACGCACCAGCCTCTGGGAAGATCGAGCGCTACAATGGCCTGTTAAAAACCACATTGAAAGCACTGGGAGGTGGCACCTTCAGAGACTGGGACATGCATCTAGCAAAGGCCACCTGGCTAGTCAATACAAGAGGATCTGCCAGTCGAGCTGGCCCAGCTCAGTCGAGACCTCCACGTGCTGTAGATGGGGATAAAGTCCCGGTGGTGCGCATGAGGAATATATTGGGGAAAATGGTCTGGTTTAGTCCTGCGCCAGGCAAAGGTAAAGGCAAACCCATCCACGGGATTGCTTTTGCCCAGGGACCTGGGTGTACCTGGTGGGTGATGCAGGACAGTGGAGAGGTCCGATGTGTACCAGAGGGGGACTTGATCCTGGGTGAGAACATGCCATAAATTATTCTGTGCCTTTATAAATTATTGTTTTGTCATTGTTAACTGCTAAATGGCAGCTGGACATGACACAGATGGTATAGAATAAAGGGGTGGATTATGTCCTGGTTCAACTAGGATAGGTTAAGTTTCCCCAGCAGAGAGAGAGGGGGAAGGGATCTCCAGCCGGGTTATTCATGCCATGCTGGCGTCAGGTCCAGGGGCGGGAAACTTTGATTTTACTTTCTCTTTGGCTTTTTGGTGGTGGGGAACTGTTCTGTGACCACTTTGCGGTATTTCTCTGTATATCGTTTGTCTTGTTCGTTGTTATTGCTGTTTATTGTTGTTACCATTGATACTGTTGTTTTTCAGATTGTTTATCACACTGTTGTATTAAATTTCTTCTTATTTTAGCCCGGGTTTGTGCCTCACTGCCTGCCCGACCGGCTGCGGGTGGGGAAGGGGCAACGGCGATGTGCTCTCCAGTCCCGGCAGGGCTTATACCAACACATTTATTTAGCAAACCAGATAATCAGATAAAAAATTAAATATAGCATTGAGAGTTTTAAGCAGGGAAAGAAAAGCTACATATTTACATATATGTCAACACAGCCAGAATCAGGATGATATCTGCTTGTCTTGCAGATGGTGGCAGGCACTTGTGTCCTGACTTTTCTTTGCTCATTGCATTGCTAGGGCATTCTCCATGTCAGACTGCTTCCTTCAAACTAAACACTGGGTCCTTTCTGATTAATTTTTTTATAAAGACAACAAAGCCAGCATACAAGTGATTCTTATTATTAATTTATATGTTAAGGTACTCAAGTTTGAGTGGAGTCTTGAAAGCCCTCTAGTGAAACTCCTGATGAATTGTTCTCTTCAGAACATCCAAGCAGCCCATTAACTTTACTGGTAATATCATTTGCTATTACTACCATAGCCATTTTCTGTTACAGTGACATTTATCCATGATTCTATTGGTGTCAAACTCTCTTTTTGTTTAAAATCAACAGAAAACCCTGGAGTTTTTGCTCTTCCTTTATTCCCCTTTCAGTACTGGGTATGAGTAAATTGTATAAAAGACCTACTTATCTCTGCCTTCATCCTGCCCCTGGTTTGAGGTGGGGGGGGGAAGTTCAGTTCACTTAAGGTCCCATTTGTATTTTTCTGCATGTTTCTGGTTTGAGCTAAAAATAGTCTTCCTCAAAATTTGCAAGCTCCAAGCAGCACTGGCTTACTTATAAGGATCCTGCTTTTGTAATTCTCTGACCTCTCCTGAAGTTGTCAGACTTCTCATGTGTGTCAAAGTTTATCTCTTACCCCTTAGTCTGACTTGTGATGGTAAAGATTCTGATAGTTCCTTTTTGTGATTATACAGATGTACCAGTCCTGATAGTAAATGCTATTTGCCATCTATCTCTACAATATAGGGACTCTTGTAATTGTATTATTGCATGCAGTAGTTATTCTGTTTGCTGTGCTGTTACTTCTAGGCTCTCTGAATAGGAATGCAGCTTTCTGTCATCTGAACAACTGCCCTGTGATCTGAAAATCGAACTGTTATGTATTGGGTTTTTTATGTTTTGTAATGATGGATGAACTAAGCTTTCATTTACAGTTCAACTAGTTCAGACCCCTTAAAGCAAAAGCTTTCCTCCCTGAAAAGGAAAGACAACTTGAAATGTAATCATCTGGTTGATGAAGTGTGAGGTCGGAAAGAGCATAGATCATACTTTCATACCTGCATGATCTCTGGAAGTATTAGTGGGGATATAACAGAATTATGAATGTGTTTGTTTCACTGAAATGAGTAGCGTAACAATAACATGCCTAATGAGAATATCTGTCAAATAAAGAGGAACCACATTTAGCGAGCCATTTTTTCTGACAACGTCTGAAATATGCCTGAGATATTTTCTACTATCTTATATTAAACTTAGTTAAGCAGGATAGAAAATGTCAAATCTAGAGTTCTTAAATATGCCCAGAGAGTTGGTAGTTTTCCTGTGCAATTAGAAACGATTTCTAGAGTTCAATGAACAGCGGGAACATCATCAGTTTGACTGTGTTTTCTTTAACTCCTCTCTTCTTAGAAGAAGAAAACTAAAGATCTGCAGTCTTCTTCCTCTTTACAGTGTAGACCTGTGTAGATCCCCATTTTTTTTCCCAAATTTTGCTCAAGCTGTCTAATATTATAATCTTGGGTAATACAAAGCAGATAGTCCATCCTGAATAATAGATATCCTAATCTGGCACAGTACAATTCAATGTGGCAAAATAAATTTATTTTATGTATAGCTTAATATGTAGCATAACTATACATACCCACATTGAATAAAATATTTCTCAATGTTCACTGTATTCACTGCCTTTCACCTGATAGTAGCTCTGTTCGTACTGGGTACCTCTTTTATTTAGGCTTTTTGTTCAAATGTTTCAATCTAAACTGAGAACTTAAATGGCACACATCTCTTAATATTTGCTTCTTTTATTCATCACACTACACACATTCTTTTTCTTTGGTTACTCTGCTCCACCATGCTCTTCAGTAGTAAACTGTTTTCTGCCTAACATTTCAATTTATGTAATTATTCATATTCCCGTTCCAGTATTTTAAAAGGCAGTTTCTCAAGTTATAAGTACTATTTACAAAAATTTAACAGTAATTTCATAGTTTGTATTAATAAAGCCTTAATAATAAAGGCTTTCATTTACTTCAGAATTTGAATTTTAGTCCTTATAAAAGTAATGGAAAACAGAAGTTTTCTTCCACTTATCTCTAAAGATATTTTAAAAATAAGTTCAATGATTTGATAATGTGGGGAACTTGTGTGCATGTACACTCACATAACTTTTTCTAAGGAACGGGATTAGGTAACATTTTATTCTCAAGTGTTGCATTCTGTTTCAATACCAAATTAGGAATCAAAAAGGAAGGACTGGTAAAAACACAGTTTAGTAACAAGATTACATTTATTTTTAATTATAATGAATGACATTACCATTCCATTATTAAATAATACACCATTGCACATAGTTTACCTGCCCAAAATAAAAACTTGAAAAAGAAGACTCTAATGGGATTCAGAAAACTGATATTGTCATTCCAGAACCACAGAGGAAAAGTAAACTGATTTTAACTTCCATGTTTTACAACAGTATTGTTGTAAATTGTAATCTAGAAACTAGTTACCGGAAATGGTGGTGACTGCCAACACTAACTAATTTTAATGCCAAATATAAGCTATAATAACATTTCAGTTATTTAAAATTTACTGTATTTCCCTGCACACCAGAGACAAGCAGCTATGCAACAATGATGTACCAGCTCATCACCTTTTAATATTAATGTTGGTTAATAAATTGTTAACTCCTTTCCATCAAGCTGTGATAATTTGTCTGGTGATTTTATTTAAAAATTATTGGAGAGTAATTGGCAAGGGTGGACAGAACATGTAGAATATTACTTCTTGAGACACATCTTTAGCTGTTGTAAATCAGGATAGCTTTGGTCTGTTCTTTGCTTGTATCTGCTGCAGATTTGTCCCATTCAACTCTGCTATTTAGTCTTATTTCAAAAGTTCCTAATGTCCATGAGGCATAGCAAATATTTAACCTGCTCCACTATCTTCTAGAAATTCACTCTGATTCTAGTCTTTTCCCATGTGAGTTCCAGGATAGGAAGAAGGCTGGAGCAAGTTTTCCTATTCCCTGGAGCCACAGTGAGAAGTTATTAAACTGGGTCTTGCGGAGCAGAAAAGTTGCTTGAAGGGAAAGAAATCTGCTGAGCCCCTCTGGGCCCTTCTGCTTGATGAAAGTCTCTGTTTATCTCCTTGCTGCTGTGTTTCATGCACAGGTTGGTGTTTTTGTCAGGTTTTGTGCTAGAGTTTTAATCTACCCCTCTGTCTCTGGCAACCTGCCAACCTGTTTCCCACTAGCTTGAGTGTTTTTGGCTTTTAGCTGCTTTCACAGGTGGCAGCTGCAGTGTACAATGGAAACAGCTGTCTGGGGCAGCAGGTGCCTGGGAGTATGTCTCACAGATGGTTGCCTTCCACAGGAGGATTGAATAACGGGGAGAAGTACAGTGTCCTCTAGGATCTGTGGCAGCTGCTTGAAGGTGGTGCTAAGAAACAGGTTTCATTGTCATGGAAGAGCACAAGTGTTTGCAAATTTTAGCAGCGCATGAGAATCTGGTATGCTTAGCTCAAGGAGAGAAAAAGTCAGGTGAAATCTTTGCTGAAGGCAAAATGTCTCTTTAGCTTGTTTTCGAAGTCACTAAAACTTTATAGAACTTACCTAGTCTACAGCATTTCTCAACTACATTTTGACTGACAACCAAGAGAAAAGGGAGTAATCATCTGTCTTTTCCAGTCCACATTTTATAGATAACAATATGCGATTAAAAAGGAACTCAGTGAAATCCAGCCCACTGAAAACGATTTGAACTAGAATATTGATTTCAAGGCTAGAACATAATATTTTAATTTCTTTTTCTATATAAAAAAAAGAATTGTAAGAAGTAAAAAGAACATAAGCAATATATAAAAGTTTAAAAATACCTCAGTTAAATAATCTGCTATTGGGAGACTTGTCCCTCAATATTTCATTTTCCAAAACTGTTACTACTTAGTTTCATTCAGCAGCATTTTACTCCAGCTTTGAAACCACAGATTATTGCTACATATTTTCTGAAAGGAAGTATATTTTTCATTGTCAAAACTGGTCTACATTAACCATAATTTACTTGAAGACTTCAAAAGAAGGAGTAAATCAAGCAGATATTCATCCATCCAACACTCTTAGTTATCTGAACATTAAGCAGGCAGCCATCCTCCAGCTCTTTTCCCATATTTTGGTGTCTTCCTCCCACAGTCAGAAGTTATCAAGTCTGCTAATTATTAATGAACTTCCTAAATAGCTATGTAGAGCAGGCTGAAAAGCCTAACCCATTAAAATGAAATTAATGTAAATACAAAAGTCATCTATTTTGATTTATGTTAGTTCCGTCCTTCTTAATGATCAGAATCTAAAGATCACCTAATCATATATGTAACTTTAAACCTGTGAATAACCAGTCCTGGTATATGTTTGACTAGTTGTTTTGCTACTCTGCATCAGGATTTGAGTTCAAGTCTGGAGTTGTTCAATCTTACAAACATTTTGAGGGTAACGTCATTCAACCAAGTGATTATTATAAATTTCATCTGAATTTGGAATACTTGATGTGATCATCACTGTTTTGGACTGCAGAGAACCTCAACCATAAAGTGGATTCATATCTCTGGATTTTAGTTCTGAACTCATAATTCTTACTTATGAAATAATTTGGAGACCTTTCTTTCTCTTAGTTACTTATGTGTTTAGTAAATAACACAATTAGAACACTATTTTTGTGAGATAATGATTTAACCATCTACTGTGCTAAGTGCTTCATTATTAGCCATGTGGGACTGGATTACTGCATTGGAAAACAGATAATTATTTTGTTTCCTAATTTACAGACTTTCAATTTTCTCAGACTCCAATTTTAGAAAAAGATGGTGTTAAATGAAACAAAGATTTTGTTGTGAAGAAGCACAAAGGAGTGACATAATTATGTTGGATTTGACTTCCAGTATTTACAGATTGAGTGGGAAAATGATATATTTAAATCAAAAAAAAACCCACATCTTACATTTAATTCAACACATTATAGATTTTAAGACTAATTTTGGGGGTTTTTTTCTGGCTCTAAAGTAAGTGGAGTGAACTGGCTGTCACTGCAGCTGGAATTGATAAAAGGAGGTACTAGTTACCCTGGGTCTGTCAATACTGCTCAATAAAAGGACTGGGAGAGCAAACCCAAGTGCTAGACCTTTGGTCTGCCATAATTTTTAACTGCTGCCTTCCTCTCTGGCTCTGGCTTGGACTGC